TTTTCAAACTGTATGAATTTAAGTAAAATAGAAAAATTATGTCAATGAATTTAATTAGTGTGAGAGAGATAAAGATACCACCAGTCGTCTGAATTCACTAATAATATGCTTGTTTCCCTTCCAGTTAAGAGTATATAGTTCAATGCTTGCAATCCATGTTGTATTTAAAGCACCCCAATTCTGTTAAGACTCGCTGCACATCCGCCCTTGACCTGTGATGTAATCTTTTTTGACTACTTAATAAAATTTTTACCTAGTGACATAATTGGTACCAATTGTCTGTTTAGAAGCTGCCACCATTATTTTAACATAATTTCTTACAAACTATCACTAGCCCTAACCCCATTTAATTAGAAATAGCTTCACTAGCGCCTGTAAGTCTAACGGGGTTCTACTTTCGGGTAACTCGAGCCGGATGACCAGAGATCGAAATTCGGAGTAATTTAAGACTGTTTAATTAAATAAAAAAATTATAACAATTTTTATACGTTGATGCATCCCACGCCACGGATTGTCGCTATCAAATTGAATGGCGTCAAAATAAACGAAATTTTCCTCGTGTTTTATTTCCGGAACGTGGTGTTGAACGGGCGGCTAATTAGCTGTAATTATAGAGATATTCAATACTAAAAGGAATTGTTAACGCCGTCTTATTTTGAATTATTAGTATGTAATAAGTTAGATCATAGAGTAAATTTACTCTATGGTTAGATGGAGTAAGTGTGGCGTTGTTAATGTTTTGAGAATTTGATTGCGAAGAGTGGAGTAACGAACGACAGAATTTTGAGCAATCTGCATCGAACCGTAGTTTGAAGTAAGTTAATTTTTGTGTATTCGGTGGTGCTGGACAATAACAAAAACCATTCCTTCTTGCCCCCCTTATTACCTCATTCCACTAGTGTGTTACGAGTTGGCGCCCAGTACAGCCAGGTGCCTATAACACAGACCCTAATTTACTTAGACGGAATAGAATATTGCCTCTGGTTCCTAAATAAGATCGAGATCGGCAAGGATTTACCTATAGCGACGGCTCGTAAAAGAAACTTCCATACGGTTGAAGCGACTCCTCAAAGTGAGTTGAATAGGACGGCAATCACGAAGATTATGATACTTGGGTTCAAGTCTCATCTATCGACCGAATTCATGAACGCAAGATACCAGTGCTGTATCAAGTAGTGTAAAACCCGAAGGGTTTTAACCCTACAATGATTAAGGATACTATCAGTAACACTACCAAATTCCCAGGTTTCGGGAGTAATAATGAAATAAAAAGCAAAGCTCTCTGTAAATGAAAACAATAAAAGGAATTCTGGGATGTAATATAATGCTGGGGTACGGAATCTGGTTCTGGTTTCTGGTTGGTAAGAGGTGCAGGAATTAAGCTTAAACGTTCAAGGCGGTGTTTTAGTAGCTATACGCACAAACTCTCCTCGTCAACTCCACCTTGAACGAAATTCTGCTAATCATAACTGAAAACACAAAAAATATGGAAAATTAAATACTTATATAGTGAAAATTTATCCATTTTATTTATTATTTCATAACCGCGAAATTAGCTCACCTTCAATTATGGATCTGGGCCCCCAGATCTTCTGTACGGCCCACTTCCCTACCCAACACAGTTTTGATATTTAGTCACATAAATGTGAGGATTAGTTTAAATTTTGATCAAAAAGATAAACACAGCGATTTTTTTCCACCCCAATAAACCGTATAAACCTCCTTTTCGCACATATTAACTCCGTCCCGTGCATCGCAGGATTGTACACTTGTGCGTGTTTATTGTTTCAGTGCTTGTAATACACGTTGGCTCGAAAGTTAAAATTTTGAGTTGCTTGAGTCGATACAATTTGTTGAAACCGCTTGTATATGTACTGCGACAATCCGTCCTAATCAGAGCTGTCTTTAACCAATTGGGGGCCCTGGGCACAAAAATGCATGGGGCCCCTTTGTTTGGAAGATACGGAATTCAGAAAAAACGATCTCATTAAAATCAATAAATATGTATATCGACAAAAAACGTATATAACGTTCCTGTCACTTTTTCTATATTCCTCTTATATTTTCATATTGATGAGCAGCATCATAGCCACACTTGCGACCGGTCTGGGTCTATTAGAATTAGACCAAGAGCTAGCGTATAAACGTATATCGTACATCTGTTGGGCGGTCAGCGTCAGTTCTATTTTTAAGTAAATTTTCAAATTTTAACAAGACAACAAAAGCGCATTTTTTTAAATCGAAATAGCTTTTGTTTTCACATCACCAATGGATGTATTTCTTGCAGACGTCTTAATAGCCCTTTGGGACTACCCTCTTCTGACAATCCGTTCTTGAGGTATAAGGGAATACACACGATCACGATAAGAGGTCGAGGAGGAGGGCTCTGGTTGATAGAAATTAATTCCTTTCGTTGAGACCTTTCATTACAGTACCATGAAGGATATAACTAGTTCCACTGTCCCCCTCCCTCTCCACACCGTACTTTGATAAGAGATAGAATTAATTTTTAACCCCCCCCCCCTCCCCTTCCTACTGCAAAAAATTCCAGGACTCTAGGACCATTCCCCTAGAAGTCGTTCGAAACGGCAGAAGTGGGTCCGGACGGGCAAAACGCAAACAATAGCACATTTTTTTTAATTCTTAAAGAATGCGCTAAAAGGTGTATTAATAATCCTATGCCATTAATACAATTAATGAATACTTTTGATTATTTTATATTGACGCAATTTTTTCACTTTTTGAAAAATTACATAACATATGCTACCAAGCGAATAGACAACGAAAAAGTCTGTCAATGTGCTAGCGCCCTATTATATTTTTTCTCCAAAGTTATTTTAAAATTGATGGCAGATGTTTAATAATAAACTTTTGTTTGTTGTGCGGTCAAAATTAAAAAAATTAAATAAAAAAAGAACTAACCGCTCAACAGACGTATGATACCTATACGCTAGTTCTAACCCACTTAAAGAGAAAATTGCGGTGACAGACATTTACTAAACATCGCAAAAAATATGTCGTTATTCTCGGCCTATATGCAATTTTTCAGAAAATGAAGCCTCGTTTACGGGGCTGTACGGTGTACCTACTTTGAAAGAGGTAGGAACTTGTTTGTTGTTAACTACAGTTTAAATTTACAAATATGGACAATGAAAACCTCTAGGAAAACCTACTATTACTAACTTGTTTTAGTTACATTTGGAATTTGTAATTAAGTAAATAATCTAAGGCTCGTCTCGTCTCGGGGGCCCCTTAACCTGCGGGGCCCCTGGGCACGAGCCCACTGTGCCCGTGCGTAAAGATACCACTGGTCCTAATATACGCTGAAATAATGTCCAAGCCCAGATTCAAAGCAGGCACTCTCTGTGTGGTAATCCCGTAGTTTCCCAACTATAGCAAGCGTGTCAATATCAATATCGTAATGTATACGATTACATATTATATACTAACATTTTCTTTACAATCATCTTTAATAAAATGAGCGATAATTTACTTAAAGAAAACGAAAATGCACAATTTACCGCCTAATTAATGCTAATACTTATTGAATGACTAAAAAGTTTTTTTAGGAAAGTGTTAGTTGAAAAGTTAGTCGTTTGTTTAATGAATGTTTTTGTTAATCTTGAATATTTTAATAATGCAGTTTTAATTACACTTGGTAACAAAGTTAGGTATGATGTAGTGGGTATTTTAGCAAGAAACTTTTATCATTTAAAGTAGGTCAATGTTTTTATAATTTCCTAATAGTAGTCTGGCATTACAAATGATTATTATTCAACTCGTGATACGCTCTTAGAGGTTTTGAAATTGTCATCGCATTTATATTAGTATAAATTACCGGCACCTAAATGGAGAGACTAAGGAACTCTTTCAGAAATGACATTTACGCGATGTGAATTATTTAGGCGAGAATAATATGCTTGCAATCGAAATATTCATTTCTATTATGTACTGGAAATGTTGTAGATAGGGGATTCTTAGACAAGTTTTAATTTCACCTATTCATTTATGAATTTTACAAGAAGAAAACGTCAGTTTAAAGTAACTTTGTTTAATACGTCATCAATGACAAAAATTTAAAGAAATTATAAACTGAGTTTTAAAACTTTTACTCCCATATCCGCATGTTAAACTTAATTAATGCTGTAAATAAATGATTATCCCTAGAGCTACCTGCTGTAGAAGTAATAAAGGATTCACATGAAAAACGCATGGCAGATCAAAATGCACTAGAAGGTTTAGAAAAAGGTATCATTAACAGTAACCAATTGATGGAATTATTTATACAACCTGCTCTCATTTTCTACTTTGAAACGTCAAAGTATAAATACCATGATGCATTGCAAACGTATTGATTTTAGTTGGTGACAAATTGATATAGGTACATATCTATTTATTTATTTATTATCTTCAAGTAACAATTATATCGCCAAGAAAACCATTTATTAAATACAACAGTGATATAAATAATTAAATGTATTTTGTTATTATAACGGGTTTACATTTTTTCCGAATTTGAGTACCATTATGAAATAAGGAAATGCGTAATGGTAGTGAGGCCCCAACTTTTTTTGTTGAAACTATGCTAAGGGTCATCGCTTATACACTGGCTAGGCGCGTATTTGTGAATTTCTGTTGCAGCGAATAGTAATTGCGAAAAAAATAATTTAGGCGGGCACATGGCGACTATCGCAGTGTTAAACGAAATTCCGTCGAAACAACTTGTGTGATGGCTTTGTTACAATGAGCGAAAGATAGAAAACGGCGTAATAAATATTGGGTGGACCCATAATCAGTAATAAAGTGTAATTACATAAAATTCATGGTGATTTTCGAAATTATCCTAACAAACTTATACAATATTATCAAATGAGCAGGGTTAGTTTTATTGAATTACTTCACATCTAATCACCAAAAGTGTCTAAATTTATGGAGCCAGAATGAAAAGATCTTTGAACTTTCCTCTTATCTTGCCTTACTTATTATACCTACTTGTTTACCTTAATTTTTGATGTGGCAGGTCAGTAAGCCTTCGAACTAAGTCACAATGAACGTAGCCACCAAACTTTCAAAATTCATTGTTTGTGCATTGAAAGGATGTGTTTATGCTCGACGACCGTTCATAAGAACCTGAAATGAGAAGTAGTAAGTGAACTTTTCAACGGTGACCAACAGTTTCCATTATCATCACTGTTCTAGGTGAAAACCTAGCGGTCAAGTCTGTCAAGTCAATTGGGAACGCTGTTCCGAACAATTAATACCTCCAAATGAAAACGTACTAAATCTTGAGACCTTAACTGCGGCAATATTAAATACTACAGTCTGTTCTATACCAAAATCGAAACCAGGGGTGGCTACTAGGATGGTGCCATGGTGAACATCGGAAATAAAAGAAATTAATTAAAAAGACGGCCTTGAATAGCTTTCGACGTAACACCACAATAGGTAATCTTATTGAATTTAAGAAGTGCAGAGCGGAATACCGTCCAGCAATTCTTGGGGCAGAGAGAAGGGCAACAATATCTGACAACTAGCATCTAGCGAAATCTAGAAAAAAATAGGATATCGGGAAAAATCTGTCACAACTATCCAACATTTCCTGAAGGCTGGACTGTTCGGTAACTAATAATCTGCCTGAAATATCAAATATCGTGGTAAATCAATTTTATAGTCAGTATCTCTTGAAACTATACTGAGGCTTTCCGGGAAATAAAATCTGAAAAGAAGAGATAACTTCCTAGTTTTGAAACAGGCGAAAGTTTTGATTATAACTTACCGTGCTGACTAGATGAACTAAAAGCTGCCCTCTGTGCATCTGGATTTGATAATATATAATATAGCACAGGGACCATACAGGATGACGTTCAACAAATTAGAGACAAGCGGAAATTTGGCAAGGTATTTTGTTTTAAGGTATTAAATATCCTCAGAAACCCAGCGCCGAATGCGTTGAGCCCTTCACACCAAAAGCACCCCATAAGTGGGTCAAAATCCACCTTTTTTGAAATTTTATAGACGTCATTGGTGCATATTTCAGCAACTACTTAATCGAAATACTATATTATTTTGTAATATTCCTATAAAACGCAGGAAATTGTTCACTTAGATTACCTACAACATGATTAATTCAATACTGCATGTAGTAAGGGGGTCTGCACTACGTATTTGCAATTGTATTGACAAAAAAATCGTGTAGTATTTTCAGGTGAGTATTGTAAAAAGTTTTATTGCGTATAAAAACACGTCTAGCGCGAAATTCACGTCATTCGTTTGTCACGCTGCAGACAGGCGGCCAGGGACGCGTCTGGAAAGGTTATCATACGTTCCGTATTCGCATAACATCCTTTCTTTACAGTACCATAAACTAGCAACAGTGGTTTTAAACTACCCCTTTATGGGTACAATAAACACTACAACTATCGTTTTAGTTTTCCAGTTTGCAAACGCTATAAAGTTCAATTGTTAATATATCCACGAAAGCAAAGTATATAGCGGTCACATAAAATGATATATAGAAGGAAAAACTATTTATACTGAAATCTATCTTCTATAATAATTTGAAGAAGAAAAAACGTTATATATACAAACGTATGGATTTTCAGGGGATAAGAAGATAACAACGAACCACTTTAATAATGATTGGCATGTTTCGTAATAATAACCTATCACGTAATAGCGCAGTTCCAATAAATTAATGTTACCTACGTCACTTTTCAATATTTATACAAGGTTACAACGTCCAGACGTTTTAAATGTTGTACGTGCGTGCGGCTAATAATGTAAAAAATGCAATGAATTGAATATATCATTCTAGAACTAATTGTTCGAAAACGATTAATTTTGTAAACGTGCCAATAGGGGGAAAAGATAATGGGTATGTAGGGAGTAAACGTGCGGAAGCCTCATTTTCCAAGTACTCCTTTATGAGCAATAAGAAGTTATAGATATATCCTGTAGGTTTCAGCCTTTCCCTCTAATCGATTTTCTAAATTAAATCAGATCGTTATTATTTTACGTTACAACTTTATTCATTGTAGGTGATTAAACCTTCAAATTGGCTGTCAATTGTAGAAAGCCCGATCACTTTTGAAATGAATGAAAACGTTTATCAAGTGTGACGTTTTACCAACTCCAAAAATAATGGACCTCGGTTTTATTTCTACACATTTCGAAAGAAAATACACATGCGTCAAAACGAAGCGTTTTCAGAATAGGAAAAAAACCATTACAAGCGGTAGTATAATCTCATTTAGGTTAAAGCCAAGTGCAACTTACTGAATCTAAGAGCTTTAGCTATATTTCTAACTGCGGACGTAACGCGGTTTCACATTGTATATGAATGGTTATTCTCTGCGACGTTTAGCACCCCGCTATCGCCAGCTAAGCTATAAAACCCAAATAACCACTAACAACGTAACTTTGTTCATATTCTCTATAATGTAATGGTATGGATAACGTGAACGCTATAAATTTTTGAACTGGAAACGACGAGTTGTCCTGAATAAGAAATAAATAGGGCCATGCAGTAATGACTTCATATTAAATGTGTATTCGTTGCATTGCACATTCACAGTAAATTCTCAGAGACAAGTTTGAACTTTTTATTACGCTACATCATTTTTCCGTAGTTATGCACCTTATCAATTTTGTGCGTAGGTATATCGTATTATACCTATACAGAAAGGGTGCAAGCTCGTGCTTTTCACTGACAGATGACAGTGGCGTCAATATATAATAATTGTCGATTCCCTCTCATTGCGGACATACACTTCTTTTATTAATTACTCTCCTAAAACTGTTAATACGTAAAATATAAAATGCAATGTATCTAATATTATAGGGTTGCATGTGAACTGTATTCCCTTATCTCTCCAGAACAGATTTTCGAAATATAGCCATTGGTCATGTGAAAATATCTCGAAAACGGTTTGGCGGAGGAAAGTACTCACAAAGGCAAAATCTGCAGATCGGAGGATTTTGAATGTATACCAGGCGGTCTTTAAATGTTTGTGTGTAAAGAGCCTGTTCCCCTTATAACCCAACCATTTATGCTTGTATTATTAACGAGCTTCTAGCGAGTTTATAATTTTGTGGTGTCTGTCCGTCCGTCCGTCCGTTAGCACGATAACTCATAAACGAATGGACCGATTACGATGAAATTTTGCAGGTGGATTCTTTATCAAATTTGTAGATTGGAGTGAATTGGCAATGTAGCTCAAAAAATAAAGTAGGCCCTTTTGACATCTCCGTTAGTTATGAACCGAATTGCATGAAATTCAATATGCGCATAGCTTTAGCCATATAAAACACAATTCCAAAAGTTGAGCCTAATCCATCAGCATTCACAGTGCCCTTTGCGCATCTCGGCCATTTACAGACCGAATTGCAAACTTTCTTATTTATGAAGGTTATTAAATGAAATTTGATACATAGCCACTTGGAATAAAAACAAATTTAACGCCAGTTTCAAAATTTGATTTTGCGCATGCGCAGTGCCAATTTTCTTAACCCAAACCCAAAACCAGTCAAATTCCATTGGGATTTCAAAAAGATACTTGCCGGAAAAAAACTTGTTCTTACATTCAACATTTTTATGCTGCCGATTGAACCAAATCACATTCCACCCATAAAAATAATTAGAACATTTAAACGGTATTTAGCAATTTCCTTATTATACACAATCCGGTACAGATTACCACAGTCGATTGCATTTGATGATCACTGTTCAGCAATTTAACTGTTTTGACAACGAGTGAGTAGAACTGAAAATTGTTGCTGCGTTGATTCAAACATTCAGTTTTATCTACCTACCTTCTAATATGGTACTAACCCTCGCACGCACGAAAAGGGTGTGTCGTAACACCCTAAGCCTCAAACATTAGAAAAGCACTGTTGTTTACAACATGTAACGCAACCTCGGAAAGAATCAATTTGAATAACCTCAACAACGCTTCTATATTGAAGGGATGTTTCCAACCACCTTCCATCATACCGGAGGTGGTTATTTTCACACGACATGCTTGAAATCTTACTTATCCAGTAGTTTATTGATTAATAGCTCTGTTGACCCCTCGGCCCTTTGTAGCTACATTAGAAAGTCGTCTTTTCTTTTTTCGAGGCGGTCAGCAGTAGTATATTGGCATCGGCCTTTTCTTTTGTACACTATGGCATTCTTCACATGCGCTGCAGTGGTTATAGTGGAAGGTGGAAGTGGTGTCACTGTAGTAGCAGGTTTGGAGGTAGCTGAACCAGCTTGTTCCAATAAGGCCATCGTCACTATCTGATGTATAGCTTCTTTTCAGAACAACCGGTCTCCCCTATAATATGTACCTTCCCGACAGGTAAGTCGAGACGGCTAAGGTTCCAGAGCTACTAGGAAGATTTACTTTTCACAGATGACAGTATGCGGACTCCTTAGTTAATTATATAAACCAGTTCAAATAAACTTTTACTTTTCATTTTCATTTATTTAATTGAACGTATAATTAAACAATAATTAAAGAACTTTATAAGAAATACAACCATTGAAATGAAAAAATGTGACTAAAAAGTATTAAAAGTTTGTCTGATTCCTAAGGATTCATACGAGTATTCTAAATGTTCTTTTGCGATAAGATTTAATAATATTGTTTGGCGTGGTAACAAATAAAATTGTTGTTAGACCTTGGAGGGTTAAATATTACATATTTAACTTTGAAAAATAACGCAAAGTTTGCCAAAAATATTTAAGTTGAAATGTATAATAAAATGGGAATGTCTAATAAATCTGACCGATTTCGATATATGTGAGCGACTGAACCAGAATTTGAACTTAAAATTCGATTTATGTGCGGATCTTAACTGCCGATAAATTATGATAACAATTTCCTTTGCTAATAAATATGTCAAATCCTCCTGTCGATTCATAAACCTTCAACATGTGTACTTATGAACGTTGACGTATTGGCATACCTTAAGCAAAGTTTAAAATTTAACGTGCGCAAGGGTTCACGAGACACTGAATACTTTAAAATTATTATTTACGAAACAGAATCTGAAAACAGTCAGCTAACAGATGCATACTTAATTTATGAAAGTAAAAAAATTATTACCGTCATTATACATACCTTATATCCTTTTACGACTGTTCTTGTTTTACGTTCTGTAGTCATTTAAAATTTAGATATTTAGAAATCTGGGGAGACCTTTAAGTATCCATTTCCTAAAACGAAACTCTCTCGACAAAAGTTTTTTAGCAACGTAACTTCATAAGTTTCTCGTTTAAGCAACTCCCGACTGGATTTTTGTTGCGGGTCTATATTTTCAGGTAAATATCTTTATAATTTTTAGTTAAAATGAAGGATACAAGAAAGATGAAAAAGTTCACTTTATCACTGAGGATCAAATGCGGGAACAACGTGACAATTTATTAATGGGCAAAGTATCCTGGCAAATATTGACTTACCTCATGTCATTTGTATATCAGTCCATGACATGGGTAAATTGTACAGTTCTTACGGGAAAGAAGTTTGACGAAATGTGACACATGTTTTTAGATTCTAAATAATTCATTTCGGCTGCTGCATATTTGTCATACAAATGTCATAACACTAGGACGTTCATTTATCTCCTAGCAGCAGCTTTTTCAGCATTTTTTTTCTAAAAATGTATTCCATTATTCAAAGACTTGAATACAAAATTATTTCGAAAATTGAATGTTTTATTTATGTTGATTTATTATATTGTATAATTAAGCGGCGAATTTAGATGTGGAAAAATTGATGTAATATTTCATTTCAGATGTGTATAAATCGAGTAAAAGACTAAATAAACTATTATGTGATTGATTATTATACC